CAACCAGTTAGCTTCATCAAGATCCTTGAAAGATGAACTGTGGTTGCTAGGGGATACTGTTCCTTGCACTTTGTTCAGCACTGTAAGTAGTGTAGTAAATAAACCCAACAAGGCTAAAAGAAACCTATTGTATTGTTACTTTGCAATAGGCATAAAGTAGCAGTTTTTGAGCAACTATCCAATGTCTCATGGAATGTCTCAGTTAAGTAATTCAATTTTAAGAGGATACATGGTTATTCTGATAAAGGGTTGAGAACAGACAAGGTCAAATGATTCACAGAAAGCATGGTAATTGACGCAGAAATTCTTAAGTGATCATAAATGACAACGAGCTATCCTTCAAAATGTGATATGATCAGATTTAATTTAAAGGGTCGGTCCACACAAAAGCGATATTTTAATTATAGGTAGAGCATGGTGGGCTAGGTCAGCCCCTGGGTTCTTTTAAGTCTAGGATGCTCCAACAGGGAGATCTCCCTGACAAGATTCCAAACACATTCTGGAACCACTCATGCCAATAAAAACCTAGTATACACATGTTTAAAATGTAGTTGTTAGATGCTCTCATCACGCTGACAGTTCACATTTGTGCCAGAGCGAAGTTCAGGGATTGTGAATTAGAACATATTTAGCACTTTCAGATTTTTCAGAAAATTGCAAAACATAAACTATAGAGATATCCCATTTAGGACCCATTCAAACTGTAACTCAATGAGCTGCAATGTACACATTTTAAAGCTTAAGGGGATTACATTTGGTAACCCATTCATTCTGAATGGGCTATCAAGGTTCTCAAATGCATAACATGTAGGTCCTGATTTTTTGCAGCACAGAGCATCTGCATCAGAGCACTTGCAATGCACTAAAATGAAGGTGCTCACTGAAGGTCTGCATTGGGGGGCAATTAACTTTCGAAGGCAATGCAACACACATCTACAGTTGCTTCAATGCATGTAATAACACATATCATGACAGGTCTGGTAGTGTGCATTAGGATGTGAATAAGGCCTTTCTGATTCAAAAGCAAAAATTATTGCAATAAGGTCTCAAGTTAAATATCACTTTAATTGTGACTCAACCACTGGGACCCCGTGCACACCAGCTTGCAGGAGGAGTGCTGGACCTCTACAGAGAGACTATTGTTTCCATGCAGAGAGCAAGGGTCCTTCTTTGCAGCATGCTACCAGGGGATTAATACTGCTAGCAAAAAAGATATAATATGATGATATATGTTATATGATCTAATCTAACAAGCATTTTTTGGTCTCAGCAGAATTCCCTTTATATACCTGTAGCGATCCATGGCTGCTATTGTAGCATTTGAAGGAATATTAGGCACCATGCTCAATAGTAAACCAGTAATTGGTAACACTGAATTATCTAACAAAGGTGCAAATACATAATATATGACGTTCAAACATCTATAGGAGTTTGTGACCCCTTCTGGCTAGATGCTGCAAAAACAATACATTTGGATAGAAAAATTCCCCGATCACTATTGATCCGCCATCTCCTTCTGCCTATAAAAACAAACAGGAGCAAAGATGATATTTGTGTGCCCAGCGGCCAAAGACTGTGCCTGAGGGTGGGTAGTTTGTGTATTCACATCTAGCAGCCATTGTAGGTCTATAGCTTGAGGCAAGGAGTAAGGTATATTACACAGTATTTCATAAGGACAAATTAGCATTTGGTTTTCATTGATCTGTTCTAAACTACGGGAAAGCAAAAGTCTTAATTGGCTGTTGGTTACCGCCAAACATTTTTCTTTGCAACGTTCCTAAGAATTATAGTTGTCAATGTTAAAATACATTCTTTAAATTACTTAAAGTAGATCTGAACTCTAACAACATTTCATTTTCTACAGCACTGAGTATCATCAACAATTGCCTCTGTTTACATAAAATACTTTTTTTTACTATTTCCTGTTCTCGCTGCCTATGGTCTCTTCCAGCATTTTAACTTCCTGTCTACATGCCCTGGCTCAGTTGCACATCATTGCTCTGGACTGGTTTACTGATAGTGGCAATGGGGAACCATGCCAGAGTAATGTGTGTCAGCAGGGTTGCTTAAAGTCTCAACCAGGGGCCCGTGGGACAGGCTGACAACACAGGAACACAAAGCATTGTCACCCTATAACAGGAAGTGCCTGAACAAGGTTATTAATGGCAGGATCATCAGGTATCAATTTAATGAAAGCTGCAGATTTTACAAGATTTAAAGTAGTATTAAACCCTCAAACTTTTTTCAATAATGAATCCAGCTCAAACAACTATACATTGTTCAGCAAAGCATTGCTTTACATTTTGGCCCAAACACTTACAATCATAATTTTTATGACAATCTGCCTCCAAGTCTCTCAGCTCATCCTCCTTGAACTTCTTGTCCAGTACAAGATCACAATGGACAGTGCAGACTTCAGCAGCTGTCCATCTACTGACTTGGACAAGGGAGGGGGGAGGAGAGGGGGCCAGGGAGGAGGGAAGTAGCTTGATTTGAAGTGTCTGTGTGTTAGTGGAGACACACACGGCTTACTAACACACACAAGGGTGACTTCTAGGATCCGGCAAAAGGAAGGAGCCCCTCTAAATCAGGATATCAGGGCCAGTGCTCAGGGGACCAGTTGATTCTGCAGGAAACTAAGGGGGTTATTCACAAAGCTGCCGAAGGATCTAAACGTAGCTTCGGCTGGTCCTTTGGCTATCTTCGGCCACAGGACCCATTCAGTTCCGAAGGGCTGCTGTAGGAGCTTTCACTATAGCCCATACAGCTCCAGAAGTTGGCCGGGGGGTTAAGTCGAGCCAAAGGCATATGCTTCGGCTCGACTGAGCCCAGGTGAAATTCGAAGCTGGCCGAACAGCCGGCTGGTGGCCGGCCGACAGCCTGCTCCTGACAGCTGGGCGGAGCCAGCCGTCATCTCACAGCTGGCTCCGGCCACTTGCAGAGACAGATCAGCGTCCCTGGTTACCAGGTAACCAGGGACGCCGTTCTGTCATTAAACTGAACCCGTCGGAGCCGCAGTGATATCACAGCGGCTGTGTAACTGAGGCTAGAGGAGAAGGCGAAGCGGGGAGACACGGTCTGGTGAGGAGTTCCGGACTTGTAAGCTGAGCCCTCTGCCCCAGCCTGTGCCCACATGTTGTGCCTAGATACCGGAGTGTCCGGCTGAGAATGGCCGCTGCTCTGGAGGTAAGGCAGCCCTTGGGGATCATGGTGGACACCCTGGTGGTGGGCATATAGACCGGAGAGGAGGTAGCAGCACCTTGCATGAAGCCCCTTCATATTACCTGGTAACCAGGGACGCCGATCTCTCATTACGACGAGAGCTTAGGAGAGCCGGTGGTGATATGAAAGCCGACTCTGCTAAGCTCTCATCCTAATGACAGAACAGCGTCCGCTGGTTACTGGGTAACCAGCGGACGCTGTTCTGTCATTAGGATGAGGGCTTAGCAGAGTTGGCTTTCATATCACCGCCGGCTCCGACAAACTCTCATTGTAATGACAGCTGGTCCCGGCCAATAGAAAACAGTCTGGCGGAGCTAGCTGTCACTGCTAGCTCCGCCCAATTGTTTTCTATTTCCCCCCGCCCCCCTTTTCTCACTGTTTTTCTATTCTGCTCGGTACCACAACATTTGAAATAGTTTAAAATCCCTTTGACTTTAATATTACTTTAAGAAGTAAAAAAAAAAAAAACTGTGAAATATCATTGACATGTTAAAGTTTAAAAAAGATTACAGGTTTACAAATTCTTTTACCTGTCCAATAATTAAAAGAAAGTTACAATGCAAAAAATTAAGACACACATTTCTGTAGCTCATTAGAAAACCTGTAACTGAGATATAATTAGCTACTTTGGGTGAAACCAGATTTATAATTTAAAGGAAATAACACAGGTATCTGTAATTTCCTGTTTTACAGACAGATGGATAGCTAGATAGCTAGATAGATAGATAGATAGATAGATAGATAGATAGACAGACAGACAGACAGACAGACAGACAGACAGACAGACAGACAGACAGACAGATAGATAGATAGATAGATAGATAGATAGAGTAGATGATGGACATCTGTTATAGGTATTATCGTGTTCAATAGATAGATTGACAGACAGATAGACAGATGTGTATTTGCCAGGTGTAAAATCCTGTTTGATAGATAGATAGATAGATAGATAGATAGATAGATAGATAGATAGATAGATAGATAGATAGATAGTCATATTAATATTTGGTAGAAATAATTGTATTAGATAGAAACATAACTGATTAAAAAATAGATAGATAGATTGTGGGTAGCACAGAATTAGATAGACAGATAATTAGATTAGGTATCTGCTAACTGCATTATTCTGTTTGAGATAGATAGATAGATAGATAGATAGATAGATAGATAGATAGATAGATAGATAGATAGATACTGGAAATTGTTATCTATTGTTATCTGCCATAACGTTTGTTATGTACAGAAGCCAGAGATGGCAAAGGCAGAAAATAACAGTCACGTGACTTAACCTTCACAGCCCTTTTTACAGATAAAACATATGGTTCAGTTTAGTAAATTGAGCCATTCGTAGAATTATAACATCATTATTTCCTTCTGTCCATCACACATCGTGCACTACTCACATGCGATTAAATCCATCAGTCATAGTGGAATGTACTGTTCACTTACAAACCAATTCCACTTTAATAAGTAACGTATTTGAAAATAGCGATGTGTCCAAATCAGATTGTGTTCCGCACATTCTCTGGAACACTAAGACGATCCTCGCTGTTTAAACAAATGTTACCCAACTTCTTTTGTATTTTACAAAAGTTGTTAAAGTTAGTTACATATATTTCCCGCAGATGTGCGGAAAGGTCAAATTGCTTTTATTTTCTATAAAACACCCTTCCTTATCTATCCAAAAAATAAAATAAAAGGAAATTAAAGTGAAATTTAAAGGAAATTAAAATAAACAAAAATAAAGTATCATTATAAAGAAAATAATATGAAAGTACCTCTATGGATGTCTTCAGCTTCTTAGTTCAGGGAGCTTCTGTCTCCAGACATTTGAACAATTTATATACAAGCCAGGAGGTTGGAACAGATCCACACAGTCAAAAGTTCTCCTCATGTGAGAATTCTGAGGGGAATTTGATGTCACAGAAGCTTTATATGATGCAGTTACTATGTCCAGTGACTATATAGGCTGTCTGGTGTGCGTGGCCATGGCCAATGGGGTAACACAAGGGGGTTGGACAATCCTTAGAGCTGGATAAGCAGAGAGGGCTTTCAAAAAAAGTAAGATGAACTTGTCAGTCAGGGAGGAAATGAAGAGTGCTGAATGGATTTTATCTGTGAGAACTAAAGAAGAAGGAGTCATTGTTGTGATGTCTCTATGGGGACAGCCCCCATTTATTATAAGAGTAGTCAACCATGTTTGCAGAATAAATCAAAAGTATATGTTTATGTGTAAAAAAAATAAATAGGGATGTATTCAGTTAAATAGCAAAAATAATGGGTTATATATTAACTATGTCCAGTGTGCAGAAGTATGGTATTAGGCTGTCCATACACAAGTCGATATGTCTGTGAGGATCAATGACACATTCACATTGCCTGCGAGGTTGTACGCTTTATTGCAATTCAGCCAATTATACTGTATTGTACAACACTGCTGATGACTTGCTACTTTTTTATGGAATAAAGGGAGCCATTATTAACTGCTTGCAGAACGCCTGCTGTGTATAAATGGATGGACAGCTCGCTCTTGGATGTAGGTTGCCGTAAATAAACAGCTTTTTTCTCCTGCTCGTGCATGTCCCCGGCGTGCGCACGAGCAGGACATGGTATAAAATCCGAGGTAGATATTAAGACATGTATTTTTTATCAACTTGACTGAATATACAACTATTAAGCTATGCAATCTAATAGGCCACATCAGGTATACAGTAGGATTACACATCTATTGCTGAAGGTGTATCAAAACTCATATATTGCAGCTCCCCAGACCTTAGATGTGGTGTCTATACTCTTTTTTCAGACTAAGTACATTTTCTGTAAGTACAAAAAAAGTGGTATGCACTCCACAGAGTTATCTCATGCAGTGTGTTATTAGCCCTACAAAGTTCACCCCTATGATTTACAGTTCACCCCCTATTTTATGTAGAAGAGGAGAGGGGGAAGTGTTCTGTAGCCTTTAACACACATCTTGTCCTAGGGTGATGATTCTTATCCTCCATAGATACAGCACAGTGAGTACAGTGAGTAAGTGTGGGTGAGTGGTGTCAACCTAGGAACCTACCAACCTAGTGATATATATATATAGATATACACATACAAAGTATTATATTTGATACAATATATACTTCATGCATGCATATACTTCATCACTGAACACAAACCTCAAGATACTTGATTGGAAGAAAAGTACAGATGAAGCCAACAGCTCTAGTTCTTTACTGATATCCACAGCAATGCAGGAATTATACATAAATCTAAGAACAATTTGGATTGAATAAACTCTTTAACCAGTTGACATCCGCGGTGTTAAACCCCCTTCCCATCCAGGCCATTTTTCAGTATTCAGCGCTGCGGTACTTTGACTGACATTTATTCCGTCATGCAGCGCTGTACTGAAAGAGGTTAACAGATGGGGAGTGGGGCACATTCCCCTAGCTTACCGGTGTAACAACAAGTACATGCAGAGGTGATATGTTCACTGCTGTGAATCTAGATGTAGTTATGCCAGTTGGCAGGGATTTCAGGTTGACAAACCACTTCAATACGCATAGTAAAGAGGACATCTTGGAACATACACCATAAATGTAGTTAATTTATAGTAGAAAGTTCAGTCAACTGTGTCAATTTTACTTCTCCTGTTTACAAACCCAGATAAGTCTAAAAGTGTATGGTTTTCATAGGAGATAGTTGGATGAGTTGCCTGAATATTACAAATGAGCCTGCCATGAATGAGTTAAATCATTTATATTTTTTAAGTATGTTTTTATCAAGATTGCAGAACAAAACACAGTGAAGGGAATTTATCAAAACTGGAGCAGACAAAATCTGGAGCAGCTGTGCACGGCAACCAATCAGCATCCACCTTTCTTTTTCAAATCTTAACTGAACAAACTGAAGAGGTAAGCTGTTTGGTTGCCATAGGCAACTGCTCCAGATTCTTCTGCTCCATTATTGATAAATTCCCCCCAGTATATTTTCATTGACAAGAACTGAACAGAGTAATATATGCCAAAAAACCATTCTAGTTCCTGCTTAGTCACCGAAACTTTTTCTGACTTGATGGATATAAGTGCAATCGTAGGGGACAATTGCACTGCATTGCTCATCAATTGGTTATATGTATAAAAAAATGAGTATCCAGGATAATTAGAATCTTAGTTTCATCAAGTTATAACATGATCCACCATTTAAATCCACCACTAAATCCCACATATCTCTGATCTTTTTTGAAATATGTTTCTCTCCTCCACACTCATTGAACAATAAACTTTATGCAATTAATTAAAATGTGAAGTTTAACTTGAATCGTGCTGTGATTACAAAGCACCAATATGCAGAATATTGCTTCACCTGGGGGCACCTTCTCCTTGTTCATCATACATTATTTTAAGTGGCTTTAACATATTTGGTATAGACAGGGTATCAGGTATTAAGCTGCTTTGGGCAAGTCTGGATTTTTAGTGGGTTCTGTACCTATAAAAAGGAGGAGGCTGCCTCCAAGGTAAGAGTTATAGAGACCTTTACCTTCTAACACCTGCTACACTGCCAACTAAACACATGGATACTTTAAGAAATCCTTCCTTCTCTTCTCTCCAGCAGCAGAATGCAGGCAGGCTCCTGACCTTACCAAATACAATGCACGATCAGCTGTGGCCACTGGTCTTGCATTGTACATGACGATGTCGACAAGATGACCAGAGAAGAGCGACTTCAGGGAACCATTTGTCACTACAAGAACCATCAGGGAGAAAGGGCCATGAATTAAAGTGAGTATCATTCAATATTAAATGATCTCCTGAAAAAAATTAGCATTATAGTCTGCAATTCTGCATCTGCTGGGAGAAAGGTAAAGTCTACTTTTTGAGAAAAATAATAAATGCACACTCCTTTATTAAAAAAAAAAGATGTGCTGATTATTATTATTATTATTCAGGATTTATATACCGCCAGCAGTTTGCGCAGCACTCTACAATATAAGGAAGACATCACAATTACAATACAATTCAAGACAAGATGGTAAGGAGGGCCCTGCCCGTAAGAGCTTACAATCTAAAATGTGGCCATGTGTCATGCTACACCCTGAATATGGGTGTAACATGAAACATGGTCCAAAAGGTGAACTTAGCCTTTACTATTTGTGGCCAACCTGGTGCTGGGTTTTAAAAGGGCGGAAAATTCACACTTTTATCTTGGATAGTGAGTCCTGGGACTGCCTTTGGTGCCTCCTCAATCCCTATGTCCACAAGGCTCAGAAGATCATCACTAAAAGCTGCTGTATTGTAAGCCTGCTGCCATTGACATGAATCTCTGCTGCACATTTATATGAGGTATAAAGCTGAGCGCATCGTATGGCACAGTGCCCACATTATGCCTACATTCCATCCACTCGCTGACACCCGCCTTGTGGCACACAGAGTCATTTATCTTCATTTTTAAGAATCTACTTAGAGTACATAACTTATTTACAGTAATGAGATTATCTTTTGCTCATTCATTCTTTCTAGTTAGGCAGATCCGTGCTGGTGAATGACATAGAACATACCCTGCAGGCACAGTTCTGCTTGCATTCATGTGTGAGAAAATTCTGTTGGATGGGTTAATTACTATTTCTCTGTACATACGCTTCATTGGATCACCTGGTCCACTATACAGACCATATGAAATTGGTACTATGACATTCACATGCAGCTTTTGGTGTGTTAAGTAATCCTCCCATTACCTAACACTTACTATGTAATATTTGAGGGAAATATAATTAAAACCAGAATTTGGAAAACAAAATAGGATAAAACATTTATATCTGTTTGCAATATTCATCTTCAATACAGAGTTGTCACCTGCAGTACTTTTTTTCTGGCACCAGATGTCCTCAGTTTGATAGCCAGCACTATTTGCCCTATGTCCTCTGAGACCCGGTCGTCCTCGGAGGGAGACTCAGCCTCAGCTTGTGATTTGACAGTAAAATGAGTAGCACCACAGTGATGAGATCATCTCTCTGTCACTCTGCTTTCTCTTCCTATCAGCATGCTTCTTGTCAGCACATAAACTGATAGCCTTCTTGTCTGCTTATTCATCTCACACTCCAGCCCTGCTGTACAGGGACTGCCAAAGGCTGATACCGGATCAAATTCAAGTACGTAAACAGCTTACATTTAAATGAAATACTTATAAAGCTAAGTTTACTTTAAAGTCATGTTTCATGTTACATCCATATGCAGAGTGTAAGATAAAGCATGGCCACATCCCAAACCAGCCACCCCCATCCATCTCCCCTCTTAACTGAATCATGTGGTTATTCTTCCCACATAAGGCATAATTCATCTACTGATCCTTTGCAGGCCCTGGGAATGGAAAAAGTCCCATCAGCCACTGCGGCAGAGGGATTTGTAGTTCTTACTACAAGTGTGGTGACATTACCACATTTGTAAACCATTCTTCCTCCTATGCATGTTACTGAATGTCCATACCTCGGTATCGAGAGGGACGGAAAGAAGAGTCTGCAGGAGGCAGAGCATTGCACCTGTGATCCACTGATAACAGTTGCAAAGCTTTAGTGACTCCAAAGCAAAAGAATAATGAATGCTCATGTTTTTTTTTGTTTTTTTTTAATGTGTGTGCATTTATTGCTTTTTTTTTTTAAAAGGTGGACATTGTAAACCCAATCACTAACGCCGCATGGAAGTTTTAACATGTTAATGTCATTTTAAAATCCATTTTCAATACTTCTAAATCTGCAGCTTTTATTAAAATAACGCTGGAGATTCTGACATGAAGATCCTTGTTTAGACACTTCCCGTTATAAGGGTGACACAGTGCCATGCCTTTCCATGTCGCAGGCAGACCAGCC